ATATATATATATATATATATAATTTTATTTTTCCGAGAAATATCCTTTGTCCGTATATATGAATCATTTTTTAATCTAATAATCTAAAACCCTGATATATATATGGGTAAAAAGTAGTGATAAGAAATATATGTTATAAAGTACAAAATGAACAATAAATGTAGATTTAGCCTATAAGAATTAAATTCATATTTTACAACGAGTAGAACTTGATTCGTGATATTAATGCAAGGATTTTGTTAATAAATTCTGCCTCCAATAAATAACATAAGATAAACTATAAGATTAATAAAAATAATTAATATAATTATTTTAAAAATAATTAATTAATTTTAACATAAATTTAAATTTTATTTCAAATATATTTATTTTTAAGTAATAATTATATTTAGTACTATTCATAAATAAATATATAAAAAATAAATTTACAATAAATAAAGAGTATAAAAGAAATTTAATTTTAAGTAAATTTAAAAATTAATGATTACTATTTATAATTAGAAAAAAATTTATTACTTATAATTAGAATTAGATTTAATAATTTGTAAATATTTTTATAAGTATTATTTGAATATCGAGACTTATCCAAATAACTCTTATAGTTTAACTAATTTATTTATTTATTTTTGTAAAATTAGAGTTATTTGAACATTAAGACATATTATAGTGACTTTAATAATCCAACTGAGTCGAATCCTTTTTTTCCTCTCTTTATTTCCATTATTAAGATAAGATTTTAATAAAATGAAATACAAATAATAAATATTTAATTAAAATATTATTTACTCTTCCAAATTCATAATGATAACAATAATGGAAGAAATATACAAGCCAACTCAGCTAATTATTATTATTTTTTTAAGTATAAAGTGTAGCAGCTAATTTTTACTTAAAAAAAAAAAAGAAGAAAAAAGAAGAAGTAACGGACACATAGGGTTTTATAAAATGGGATTAAGATATTCAATTTGGTGGGATTGAAATCCGGTGTGTTGCGTATATACCGTAGAAAGAGAGAGAGAGTTTGCAATCTGAGTTTCCCTCCACTCCGTGTTTTAACATGGACGCAGCAGCTCCTTACAATCCCCGCACCGTCGAAGAGGTTTTCAGAGATTTCAAGGGCCGCAGAGCTGGCATGATTAAAGCCCTCACAACCGGTAAATTCAATTATCCATTTCTCTTTCTCTTTCTCTTTCTCTCTCTCTTTCTCTAACGTTTTTTCTTCTCTTTCGCAGATGTCCAACACTTCTATCACCAGTGTGATCCAGGTATTTCCCTTTACTTCTACTCAACACATTCTGCTTCTTCTCAATGCCTACTTCCCTATCCAATATTTTTAAATTACTTCGCCTCACTATGCCTTCTTCTATCTTTTCGCAACAGAAAATTAATGGAGTAAATTATTTACGAAAATTGAGTTTAAATAATGAGAATAAGCATTTGAACCTAAATTCAGTGCCTCGTTAATGTTGAAAAAAATAAATAATCAGTGGAAGCTTTTATGTATGGATGGAACCTTAACATTGTAGATTTCAGTTAAATTTTTTACCTTTGTTTTGGTGCTTGACCAAAACTTTTGTATGCCACTTGCCAGTTCAATTGGGATGAAACTGATCGATGATAGGTGGCTTCTTTTTATCGTTTATTATCATTTTATCATCCATATTTTTTTATGAATTGTATATCTTCTGGGTTGCCGGAATCTGAATTTTATCATCAATCTAGATTATTTCAACACCATTTGTCCCGTCTTTCTTTTTAACGTAAAGCGTTGAGTCTTGAGTGCATTACAATTATTTACAGATTTGAAAATCCAATAAGCTGCTACAGAGAGAAGTTGAAAACTACCTAACCAGCTTCTTATTAATGTAGCCCGTATGTGTGTGAATGGACTTAGATTGTGAACGTTGTTCTTAAATTTCAATCTGGGGGGTTGCAGTCTTGCAGATAGGCTAGTGAAATACAGTCTATATCATACATTGGATATCTATGTCAGTATGTTCCGAGTGTGAGCTTGAGACTTATTCAATAAACCTTTGGATACCTTGTAACGTTGATGTTATAATTGTACTAGTAGCTTCTATGACCTAGTGGTTGGAAGTTCAATCGTTACCATCCTTGTTCTTTATGATTAGATTAAATATGAGTGAGGTAAAATGAGTTTATGCATTGTCCATGCTTTCAGGACCAAAAGGGCTCTTACATAATAGAACATGTAAAACCATTCTTGGTTCTCTATCTAACATTTTAAGCTCTTTGGTTATTCACAAATATCTTATGGGTAGAGATACTCACCCTTGATATTGGATTTTTTCTTTGACATACTGAACTACTGTTTTCACTCTTCTAATGTACTGTCTAGGACCTAGTTGTTATTATTATTTATTAATATTATTATTTAATAAAATTTTAGTTGATTTGTAAGAACTTTGTGATACAGAGAAGGAAAATCTTTGCCTTTATGGATTTCCTACCGAGCACTGGGAAGTCAATCTGCCAGCTGAGGAGGTGCCTCCAGAGCTTCCAGAGCCGGCATTGGGTATTAACTTTGCGAGAGATGGGATGCAAGAAAAGGACTGGCTATCCTTGGTTGCTGTGCACAGTGATGCATGGTTACTTGCTGTGGCTTTTTATTTTGGTGCTAGGTTTGGATTTGATAAGGCTGATAGGTAGCTATTTTCGTTTTCCACTTTTCCCTTTTATGTACATATCAACATGGTTTTATTCTACAAACTAGTTTTTTTTCCCCGTTAAATGATGTATATGTTTTTATCTGATCTGAAGTAGCATACCTTTAGGTTCAACTGTCAGGAATATTTCTGCACACTGTTTTCATTGTAGTGTAATTTTAAACCATAGATGGTCCGAGGTTTGAATGTATCTTGTTATGGACAAAGTTCTTCTGTTGCTTTATTGGCTCTCGAAATAAATGGTTACACACAAAAGTGTTTAGACATAAAAAGCAGGAAGTGTAACTTGAGAACACTCAACTCCAAGTAACTAATGTAACTTGATTGCCTCTTGTAATGTTTGCTACCTTGACAGTTGCAACTAGTTGTAAGCATGACATTCTTTGTTTCATTTGATAAAAAGTGGTTGACTATTGAAGCAGAATTTGAAAAAGACAACTTTCCAATGGCTGTTTTGGTTGGTATTGTACTTTATTTTATTACTATTTATTAGCATAATACCTGTCAATGCACAATTGCACATGCATTTGTTGTATTTAGTCCCCTTCATTAATCTAAAGCAACTCAGTGAAATGTTTGAAATTTGAAAGGCTAAAGATGTTTTGTTCACATAATTGTATGTTATAACATGGTGTTTTTGACATTATAGAGAGAATTTTGGTCTGGGTAAGGTTGAATAACAGTAATATGCGAGTTCTAATAGTCTTTTAAAATGTTTCAATGGGTAAGGTTAAAATTTTGAAACCTTAAAGATGTTTTGTCAGAATTGTTGATGTTCCTATTCTTTTAATTGATTGCAATCTGCTGAACTTGCAATCATTATCTAAAAAATCCAGTGAATTACCCATCAGCTCTCTGGATAAATTTTTCTGGGATTTCAGTCTTAAGAGAATTATCACCTTCCATTGTCTTATTGCGTAGTTGGTATGATTAACATAGTTTAATCACTATCTAATTCTTAGGACATGAATAATGTGCAAAGATGTGAATAAAAAGGGAGGTGGGGAATTCACATTTTTCAGCTGCTTAGTATTTATGATGTTTACTTTTATAACTACAAGGTAGTAACAGGCGGATTCAAGAAATGCTAAAGGTATTTAAGGATAGGAAATTATATTCTGTGTGCTTTTGGGATTGTGAATTGCTTCACAGTTTTGCCATAAACACATACTTCCAGTTTTTCCTTTTGGAAGGAAAACATTTTTGTATTATCTTGATATTCTCTTAATGCTCTATTGCTCACTTGTTAATAATTTTTTTTTAGAGCTAGTTTTTTGTTTAAGAGAATAACACTTTCTTTATCTGCCTTGGAGTTTGTATTCTTAGTAACGCTGATTTTTCCTTTTTAATTTTGTTAATAGTGCATAGTTTGCATTCTCTGACTATAGATGGTTTACTCTCTTACTTTGGTAGTTAATTTGATATATGTTTTCATTTTGTTATCTTTCATTAATATCTGTTCTTTATTTTCATATACAGGAAGCGACTGTTTAACATGATAAATGATCTTCCAACGATATTTGAGATTGTTACAGGGATGGCCAAGAAACAAGGAAAGGAAAAGTCATCAGTTTCTAATCATAGCAGTAACAAGTCTAAATCAAACTCAAAGGTATACAAGCTGAAAAACTAACTAGCCATTAGTAGAAGATTGTTTTCTGATGGAATAGCTTTTTACAATGAAGCTACATTTTTACACCTGATTTTTTTTGAATTTGATACAAAAGTATGTGGCTAGTTTAGTCTTTGAACATCAGATGCTCTACCTATAAGAGGGTTCCTTGTTTCAGGAGAGACGGGTGTGAACGAGATCACAGACAATATTGTCTATGGTGCACCTTTAAGTTAGGATGCATCCGTTGGTCGTTAGATCTAAACAAAATAGGCAATGTGTATTTATTTATTTATACCCAACTGTAACACATTTGGGATGCTCTATTTTCAAGAGTGCACTGTACTTTTTTGACCTAAAAGTCTTCTACAATCTTGAATGAGATCCAAGCACCCAATTATTTTTTTAAAATCTTTGATAATCTCTTTTGGTTTGGCAATTGCAGAAAGGTTCTGAATCTCAAGGACAGAAAGGTTCTGAATCTCAAGGGAAGTATTCAAAAGCAATGCAATTAAAGGACGAGGATGAGAATGGTCTGGAAGAGGACGATGAAGAGGAGCATGGAGAGACACTTTGTGGGGCATGTGGAGAGAACTATGCGGCTGATGAGTTCTGGATTTGCTGTGACATTTGTGAGAAGTGGTTTCATGGAAAATGTGTGAAGATTACCCCTGCTAGGGCTGAGCATATCAAGCACTACAAGTGTCCATCTTGCAGCAACAAGAGAGCTCGACCTTAACAGTGGCTAGGATGGTGACGCGACTGTGTATCTCGGTTCCTGGGCAATTATATAACTGTTAGTTTGTTTTTAGTTCAGGTTTATTAGACTTCGTCAATTCTAGCTTCTAGGTAAAATCTGTTTCAGATTTATGTTAGGTACTGTTTATTCTGTCCAAAATTTGGATATTTATGTCATGAGCAAATTTAAATATTGTAATGTGTTTCCTTAAATTTAGTGGTGTCTATAACTATCTATAGTATCTTCAGTTAATTTAAAATTTCTCCCCTATTGTTATTCCTTTATAATTTAAGTTCTTGCATTCGCTAAGAACAGGACAAAAGAAAGTGGAAAACAGGAAGAAAAGGGATTACTTCACTTGAGTTGAGTCTTAAGACTACAGTGATAACCAGTTGAGTTTCGTAGTGAAACTGGTTAATTCTCCACAACCATGTTAGATTTGCATGTTCATTGGTTGGCTTATTATCTGAGTGCCGAGTGCGTGCGTGACTTTGCAATTAGAAGTGAATTTTACTACTTTGGTTTTCTTTTAAAATTGGAATGGTGAAAAAAAATTGGCGAAGACTATTGACGTTCAAGATTGTGCAGTAGCCAACTAGAGTTGTTTTCACCGTTTTCGGTGGTTGATAACTAGTTCGTTAATTTAATTTTGGTTTTTAGATTACTTTGATTTTCATAATTATGCTCTGCATTCATAGATTGGGCGTGTGTTACATGGAACACGAGATTGAGATTTTTGGATTCGAATATGGCTTTATTAATTTACTACCATGACGATTGACGTGTGAGGCGGTGAGAGTACATATCATTTGCGGTAGGTGAAAGTGAAACTATGAATTCCCTTAGAGATCTTTTTATTTATTTTTGCACACCCATATTTAATTAAACATATCTGTCGGAATAATATTTTCCTTCATTATCTTTGGGCACGCACAAAGTAATAAAAGAAGTGATTTGAATGCAAAAATCCAGTTAATTTCGTTGCTTGTTCTATATGTTGCTTGGCTTTGTATATAGATCATTTATGCTTTTTGTTGAAGAGAAAAAACCATTCATAGAAGTCATGTCATAATCATTCATGATTATAGACCATCTTGAACCTTTACAAAAGGATATAAAACCCTTCAAAAAGATACATTTTTAATTAAATAACAACCTTTCATATTTATATATTTACATGAATGAACATATTATTTCGTAAAAGAACACAATCTTTCGTATTTACTATTTTTTTCTCAATAAATAGAAGCATAGTTTCATGAAAGAAAATAAATTTTCATATTTGTATAATTTTCTAAATAAACTCATAATTTCATGAAATGATACAACTTTTTGATAAGGAAATACAATATTTTAAAGTGATACATTTTTTTTATGAAAGAACACAATCTTTCATACTCGTATCTTTTTTATGAGTAGACATTTTTTTTAAAAAGAAAATAAACTATCATTTTTACATCTTTTCATGAAAAATTGAATTTTTTTTTATAACTTACATTTATTAATAAATGGACACATTTTTATGAAAGAAAATAAACTTTCATACTTTCATCTCTTCATAAAAAAACACACACTTTTTGTGAAAAGACATCATTAATTTAAGATCTTTTCTAACAGGAGAAGACTTTGAAATTTACCCCCTTCCTCCCAAAATAAAAAAAAAAATTACGTGGAAATATTGTTACATAAAAACAATTAAAAAAATACGTGAAAAGATTTTCATGCTAAAAAAAATAATGAGGAAAAAAGAATAGGATAAAAATATTAAATGGAATGAACTTCATTAATTCATTAATATTTATGAAACTGTTAGCCAGTTTATAAGTGTTATAGTTATAAATTTAGAAATTTTAAACTAACTTATAAACTTTAAGTTAATTTATTAATTAGTTTTTCAAATATAGTCTTAGATTTCCATAACTATGATTAATGGATTGAACTCATGTTATAGCGTTTAGATTTTTGGATTCGAATATGGATTCATTTCTACCATGATAATCGATTTAAGAATATACATACTGATGATTGTAAAAGGAATCTTAATGTTTTGTTTGGATTGAACTGAAACTGAAAGAGAAAAAATAGAAATACAACAATCAGGAAGATAAAATTAGAGTGAAAAATAATATATATATTATAAGAAAATTATTTAATGATTTAATAAATTAGAAAAAGAAAGGAAGAAAGGAGAGATACACATGATAATGTATATCTCCTTCATTATAACCAGAGAAAGATTTCTCAAATGGTCACAAAATTTGGCAAGTTCTCCTTATTTCTTTTCCAACAAAAAAAGGTGAAAGTCACAGGATGTCTCCCATTTCACTTCTTCCCAAATCACCATATTCAAACATAATGTAAAAGATTTGTAGTGAGAGAGAGAGAGAGAAGTGAAAAAATATTGGTATAGAAAATGTTAAATAAGAGGGACTTCATTAAAATTTGGATATATATTTCAACACTAGGTCTGTGGATCCATTTTCATTGATCACATAATAAGACCAAGTCCATTGAACCCGATGACTGAGTCTGATTCATTAACTGGGTACTCAAAATTGAACTCCAAGTTAGGCTTTTTACTCATGTGCCCATGGTTTCACTTGTTCAGCTCCATTCAATTATTTTTCCTGGACTGAGCAGCTCACAGAATAAATAAAGGTGTGGCTGGGATTGTCATTTGGTCTCGTGGATTAGATAATTAAATAGGACAACATATCATACAAAATATTATTTTTTTTAAAATAAAATTACAAATAATAAGTTTTACTTTATAGTTCCCTTCAAAAGATATATTAATTAGGATAAAAATAAATAATACCTATATATTTTTTACATAAAAATTGGAGAAATTATTGTGTTTAAGTAATTATTTTTCATAACATGCGTGACAAAAATCTTTAAAATAGATAATTTTTTTTTCTTTCGCATCAATATCTTAAAATTTTGTCTTAAATTAATCAATTTCATCTGAGAGGCAAATAAAATTTGGTTAACGATTAAATGTGAATCAATTTAAAATAGTGTTAAATTTTTAAATATTAATATATCCGTTATTTGTTAGTTTTTTTTTATTAATTAGCGATTTAAACATTTTGCCCATTGTTTCCGTAAATATTATAATAATTTTAATTATGTTATTAAATATGCTTTTTATTATAATATAAAAATAATTAAACAACATTAGACAGAGAGTTACCATTACTTCTAAAAGCAAAACTAAAGTTACACTATTATTTATTTATTTATTTGTGTTTGGTTTTCTAGGTCTTCAAACACCTTTTAGGTATGTAATTAATCTCTTTGAAAACGTATCTATACAGTTAAATCTTCCTCATTGAATCCATTTTCCTTCTTTTGGAAGAACACAACTAAATCAACATTTTTAGGCCCAACCTTTTCGTGTAATTTTGTCTTTAATGTACGACAAAAGTATTATTATTCATAATACCATTATTGCTAAAATACATGAATTGTATTTAACTTAAAAATATTTTTAAAAGTTATTAAATTCTCATTAAAAATATATAAAAATAAATAAATAAATATGTCTAGGTCACATATAAACATGGCAATGACAAGTAAACTCAAATCAAAGGTTTTTATATTTTATTTTATTAGTACGAGTTATAATGGTAATAATTTAAGATTTTGTGCATATTACTTCAACTTTCTATTATTATTTATTAGGTTGACCATAGTTGACATATATATATATATATATATATATATATATATTAAAAAATATTCCCACCATTCAATAGGTTTTAAATAAAACAAACTCATCCTTACTTCATCAAGTATCATGTAGTCCCATGTAGTGCCATCTTCACTTTCATCGTCATCAAAATAATTATCCCCCCGTAAGGACTTAGAATTGTTGCGGACAATATCATATGTTGTGAGAAGAACTCCTTTGTCCTAGAAAGAGGCATGAGAGTATAGTTGAAGATTGGCAGAAACAAATAACTCAGAAACATCCAAATAGCAAGAAATCTCAAGCAATCAATTAAACATCCACAAGTGAACCAAATTTAACTGAGTATTTTCCAAAATAAATTGAGGCAGTCACCCCCCCTCCCATAAAATAGTTCCCCTTCCAAATCCCCTTCCTTATCCTGTATTCCTGACAGTCAATAGGCACAGGTATGAATTTAACGTTGAAGGTATTTCTCAGTTTAATTAAGAAAAACAAGAAAGATCTATAACCTGAAGTATGTACTGAAGTTCATATTCTCTGAGTTTCGTAGAAGTTCCAAAATATCTGCAGAAAAGCACAAATTGTTGGTTCTTGTTCTTAATAGAAATGTTTCAACGTTGCATTTCAGATAAACTACTCAGATGAATAAATTAAGGCAGCCTCACTCTCTTGTCTTCTCGGATAGACCAACAGCTGCCAATTCTTTAATCCAATGTGGCAATAAGGTTTTCGGTGCTACAACCAATACCCTTCTAATTAAACGAGAATGAAAGAGTCCAGCTAGAAAGCCACACATCTGCAAACCATCCAGCATTGACAATCATGAACCAGCTATTGCAAAATACAATTTCTCAAGGTTCTGCTATTCATTTCCTTACCTGCATTGTTTTCCCCAAACCCATGTCATCCCCCAAGATTCCACCTTTTCCCAGACAATGCAAAGACCAGAGCCACTTCAATCCCTCCCGCTGATGCGGATACAACATTTTTGCAATTTTAGCCTGCAACTTGTAAGTCGATCTGGGGCCAGTCAAAGTTATAGACCCATCATTCTCAGGCTCAAAATGATCCACCTCTTGAACAGAGTCATCTGAATCATACTCAATACCGCCACTCCCATCATTCTTAGCACCCTCTGACAAGCTCTCCTGTGGTTGAGAGAACGAAGACCCTGCACTCCCATACTCTAAACCCTCGTCATCACAACTTTCTTTCCCTCCAACCAAACCCTCAACACGCTTCGGAGCCGGCTTCCTCTCAACCGATAACAACTCAAACTTGGAGTTCAATTCATTCAAAATATCCCTAATTTCGTTCTTGCCCCCACTCTCCTCAATCTGGATTGTGTTCCTCGGGCCCGGAACCGGCGAATCAAGGTCGATGAGTTCATCAAACTTGGACTCATCAACTGCCACACTTTTGCTGGCATCTTCATGCACAACCTTGCAGAGGCGGCGTCGCCCCTGCCCTTTCACCTTCGTCTTCTTTTTTTCCTCTGAAAAAAAAAAAAAAAAGACTTTAGCGACGCTGCTAATTACATAATCAAGCATGGCGGAGAAGACAGCACTCACTAGGGTAAGAAATAGCCACGTGAGGTGGAGCTTCTTGTTGTTCTTGAAGCTTGATCGGTTCGTGTTTCTCATCCGAATTTTGCCCTAATAACGGAGTAAGGCAGATTTTAACGAGGGTGGTGATTGCAGATTGAGGTGAAACAGAAAAGGATGAGACTTACTAGGAGTAGCGGAAGATTGAACATAAAGATGGGGAACATCGTTGGATGAAGCTTGTTGTTGTTCCTTGTTTGGTTCGTCCGTGTTGAACCCTAATAATAGTAGTAGCAATTGTTATACTTGTGGGAAATGAGGAGTGAGGATTAAATAGAGAGTGAAGGTACCGATTGGAGAATCAAAATCGGTGATTATGGAAAAGTGAGGGATGTTTTGGTGTTGTTGGTTTGTGGTGGAGGATTCATCTGTGGAAAAGTAGAGTGTGAGTGTGATTGAGGAGAGACGTAGAAATGAAAAGAAGGAAGTGAGAAACATACCGAAAGAGGGCTTGGGAGGAGCAGAGTGATCTTGGAGGAAGCGATAGTGACTATCGTTGAGGCTCATTGCTTTCTTCGTCTTGTTCGCCATTTTTCTTCTCTTCTCAAGCCAATGCCAAATCACGCTTTTATTCCCTCACTCCTGCGCTTCCCGCTTGCTTTCCTATTTTTGAATTTCATCCACTTTAACCTTCTTATCAATACTAATATATAAAGGGAATACCCTTTTCAAAAATTACCTTGATCTCTACTTTTTCTAATCATTATATTCTTTTATTTTTAAAAATTAAAAAAAATATTTTTAATCAAATTTAAAAATTTCAAACTAATAAATCTATATTAATATATAAAGGAAATTTTATTGTCAATAACTATTTTTGGTTTTTATTTTTATATGGATCATTTTTTCCTTTATTTATTTTTTAATAATTTTTTTATGAGTAATTTTTCATTTTTTTATTTTTTTTATTTTTTATTTTAATACAATGCAGGAAGGTAGTGCCCCTTTCCTACTAGATAAATAATATAATTGTATAAATAATTTTACAAGAAAACATATCTAATAGAAAAGAATGGAGGAACAAATATGCACGAACAATTTTTGTTCCTTTCGATTCGTATAAACATATCTCCTTTGCATGAATTATCCAATACACCTTCCTTTACCAAACTCCTAACCGTTTGCACAAAAGTTAAAGGCCTCTTTCTCCCATTCTCTTCGGTATCCAACACCTGCAACCTCGTCTTAATGGTATCAAGGGGCATTGTGACAATCGCAGACACCCCACTAGCCAAAACTGCACTGAACCCTTGAACCGCCACCATTGCCCTAGAATCAGGCCTAAAACCACTCCCTAAAGCATCATGACCAGTCTTACCCATATAAGAACCAAAAGCACCCCAAATGAGTCTATGCACCATGGAATAAGAAGTCCACCAAACCGCATTAGAAGGGGCATAAGTCAATATAGAAATCCCAAAGCCTCTATAGAACCCTCTTGCCCCATCCGCATACATGATCTTCCGAAACGCATCAAAACCGTTCCTGTAACTCTCAGAATTGAGATTGGCAAGCACGGTTTGGCTCCCACCGCTCCCCTGAACCATGAGTCTCTGACTCACGACATCAATCGGGGTCCAGACGAGCTGCGCCGCCATGGCGGAGGTGACGCCGGCGGCGGCACTGGCGGCAGCGAGGGCGGTGGTGTGGGAGAAGCCTAATTGGACGAAGGCGGTGGCGACGTTGCTCTTGGTGACTTCGAGGGAAGCCATGTAGAGCGCACGTGCGGGGATGGTTCCCATGAGGGAGGTGCCGAAGCCTTTGTAGAAGCCTCGGAGGCCCTCGTGGCGGAGAATGGCGGAGGCCATGTGCAGGCACGTGTAGCGTGCCGAGGAAACTTGCTGGCGCGTCTTCAGCACCACCATGGGGTAGAGTGCGAATGAGACGCCGGAGAATAAGGCGGCGCCCAGGAAGAAGAACTTGGACTTATCTAACATGTGCCAGTCGATCTCCGCCGGCAGCTGGATTTCGGAGGCGGAGTCCTCCTCGGCCGCCGCGCCCAAACTCATCTTGGCCACTTTGACGGTTGGACAGCGACAATAGGAAAAAGAGCGTGAGGATTTGGGATCAGTGCGAGTGTTAGTGTTAGTGTTAGTGAGTGAAACATTTGGTGGGAGAGAGAAGGATAGGTCTTACCGAAAGTGTCATGGTGGTGGAGAAAACCTAATGGCGGCAACAGCGTCTGAATTTAGAGAGAGAGAGAGAAGAATGGATTATAGTGTGAGGGTTTGGCCTTTGGCGGATCAAGGAAATGGACACGTGTACGTTCATGTCTAGGTTTATGAGGATAAAATAAAAGAAAGACAATAGCAGCAATATTTACATTTTAAAACATGATTTGGGAGTGAGTGACAGTCACATTCAGCTTCGCCCATTAGCCGTGCCCGTGGGTGAAATCTTAATGGACTAATCTTTACCAGTTACCACTCACTCAAACATGTTTTAAACCCACAAACGCATTATAATATTAATAGGGGACCATGCCCATCGCCACAATCATTGCTGCATCGCTGTTTCACTTTTCTTTCCTTAACATTTACTAAACAAATTACACTAATCTATATACAAAATATAAATAATTATTTTGTATATGGAAAACGATAATGCTAGTAAATGAAGCCTTTTATGGTATTGGTAACTGAAAAAGTCACACTATTCTTCTGCATCAAGAATATAGTACAAACACCAAAATTATTACAACAAGAGGAAAAATATTAAATGTTAAGAAAAATGTATTGCAGAACTACCACCAAATTCGTGCCTAAATATTAGTATGATACTTTTTCTTTCACATTTTTCATGAATCACAAGTGATCGGTTACTCAGTTTTAACTATTTCCTTTGTGAATTGGGTGTTTTCATTCTTCGTGCAATATATATCACACTTTGCATATCAATTGTTTTATAAAATATCTTTCATAATTAATCTTCCAATTTATTAAATAAAGCATTAAATATGCTTTAAGTGAATAATTATATATCTTCGTACGACATCTTCCTACAAATCCTGTTACTTATTTTATATGATAAAAAGTATTAAAAATGTAGTTTATATTTTAAAGACATCAAATACAATTTTTTTTTCTCACTTAATACTATCTATATCTTGGATGAAGATATAACATTATTTTTCTTTAAGTTTCCGAAATACTAAATGTGTGTGTTTCATTCAATATATTTTTCAAAAATTATTAAAATGATTTGTAAGAAAAATTATTGAATGTATTGTGAATTCAACTATATAATGAGAACACGTTTTATTGGGTATTGTAGACAGATAAGCAATTTTTTAATTAGTTGATTAGCTTTAAAAAAATATTAATTAATTTTATTTGTTTAAAATAAGTCACAGTAAGGCAAGATAAGTGATCATAATTGTGTAAATTAAGTGAACATTGCAGAAACCAGTTTTTTTTCTTCCGTAACGTTAATTAACATTACAAAAATATATTTTTTATTTTATTTTGTGGGATTAGTGTAAAATAGAAATAATTGAAATGGGACCGTCCGAGACGACTTTTAATAAAATAGAGAATAAAATGAGAAGATGGGGATAGTTTTGGCATTTGAAAAAGTTGGGAGGCCTTAGACAGAAATGCCCATAGAGCCGTACTATCTTTGTGGGCTTTCTTATTTAATTGGGGCCGGATCCAGAGGCCCAATAAGAAGATGGCAATTTAAGTTTGTAAAATGAAAAAAATGGGTGAGTTCTGGAGGCTACTAGAAGTATTGGAATTAGGAAACGAACCTCCTGGAACTTCCGGAGAATTCTTGGTGTTCCTCTCTGGAAGCTCCCATTCTACTTCGATTACCTTTATAAATAATGAAAATCCATTTACTCATGCGTCAGCACAGAATCGAAGCTATTGATAAGAAACCACATTACAGAGAGAAGAGAAGAAGGAAATGGATATCAGGTTGATGGATTTGGATTCTCCATTGTTCAACACATTGCACCGAATTATGGATTTGACGGAGGACGCTGAGAAGAACTTGAATGCGCCAACGAGGACATACGTGCGCGACGCAAAGGCAATGGCTGCAACACCTGCTGACGTGAAGGAGTACCCTAACTCATACGTGTTCGTGATCGACATGCCTGGGTTGAAATCTGGGGACATTAAGGTGCAGGTGGAGGAGGACAACGTGCTTCTCATAAGCGGTGAGAGGAAGAGAGAGGAGGAGAAAGAAGGGAGCAAGTATCTGAGGATGGAGAGGAGGGTTGGAAAGTTCATGCGTAAGTTCACGCTTCCTGAGAATGCCAACACGGATGCCATATCTGCGGTCTGCCAAGACGGTGTTCTCACTGTCACTGTCAACAAGTTGCCTCCTCCTGAGCCCAAGAAGCCAAAGACTATTGAGGTTAAGATCGCTTGAGTTTCTTCAATGAGAACCAGTTATATGTCCCTGTTTTCGAGTTTCTGTGTGCTGCCAATGTTTTTGTAAGTTTTCGTTTATGCTTATTTTGCCTATCACACTGTAATGCAATCATGGCTGATGTGATGCATGCTTCTATATGAATTTCAATTTCAATAAATCATCAAATTCTAAGTGTTAAACTTTCTCCTATTTATTTATCGGATTTTTACTTTGTGAAAATTTTAATATTAAAGCATTACTTATATTATTATTAATATAATCAATGAACTTCAGGAAAAATTGTTATGATGAAATTAAGGCTTGTCCAATTCTTTCGACTGATTTATAATTTTTCACTTTACCAGTAAAAACGTGATATTATAAGTTCAGACAATTACATCATTCTTGAAAATATTTTAACTAGTAAAAAATGTGCACGACAATAAAGTTGAGTAAAAAAATTTAAATCAATTTATTAAAAAATTTGATTTATTTTTGAGAAAATTTTTGAATGAATTTATTTTTAAAATTATAAAATTGATTTAGTTATTCGAATTAAATCTATTTTTACTGAGAAAAAAATAATCGATTGATTCATATTTGTGGATTGATTCATTTTTAGAAGAAAAAAGTTTGAATGAATTTATTTTATAAAATAAAGCAAAAAAAATTAAATAAAATTATTTTTCAAAATTGATTCGGTTAATATTTTTATGAAGTGAACTAATTTTTTTAAAAAGTTTCATATTTAATTATAAATAAGATAATTATAGTATATTATAATGTAGATCAATTTAGTTTAATTTAATTTTTTTTATAAAAAAAGTGGTTGTAAATAAATATTAAATAGATAACTGTACTACACAGAATAAAATGATTCAGTTTAAAAAGTTGATCTATATTTTAATAAAAAATTGAATCAATCTAAAAACAAATACACTTTTATAAAATAGATTTATTCGATTCGATAAGTTTTTTAAAAATCTGATATGATCAGCCGTACACGAAATGCCCTGGTCGTGCTTGCTTTCAATCCCATTCGCCACTTCTAGACATGAACCACGGTGCATCTTAACTACGGTGGACAGACAAACTCAATATATCGATATAGATTTTAACATAGGCACGAAAGAATATGAACGAATGACACGAAAATAATTCTAAAATGTACAAATGGCGATTATAAAATCAATTTGATCTGTTTTTGTTAATGGGTTTAACACCGACTTCAATAGAAGTATAATTTATATCTTAATTCTTAGCCAACTCGAATTTAAAAATGCAAAAAATAATGAATAAAAATCAATTTAATGCATTTTCTAAATGGGTTTTACATGGACATCGATAGAGGCAGTACAATTTTTTTAACTTAACCACCTCTTCTCTACCTACAATTTCGACCGCTACGATAATTCAGTTGATCATATAGCCACATTCTGAACGGGTTGGTGCTAACGAACGGTATAGTTTTCTTCTTTCTTCGTGCGTTTTTAATTTTGGAAGGGCTGTGGGAAATTCTAGTTTCTTTTTTGTTCGACCACAAGTAAGCATCTTTCCTAGCAAACAAAGCAATGAAGAAACCCTCGCCATGCGTAGCAGGATCTGTCCGAACCAAGCATTCAGCTGAAAGGTATGAAAACAAACAACGTTAAAAATCGCCAACTAGTGTAAAAGAAGATAGACCAGGAACTGCTGCTGCCTAAAAAAGTGTACTTACAGCCTTCAAACACTGGAAGACCACGGCATTCCCACTCGGGGAAGGGCTTTGCCAGTTGAAATCCATATGATTCGGCTATAGGCACAACAGATTTGATGACATCTTCATTCTCAATCTGGTTGATTGAACATGTACTGTATACAATTCTTTCAACAGCTGGAACTGCCAAGTGAAACAACTCTTTCCTTGAATTACTAGGAACATAATATTTGTAATTAAATAATGTTAAAATAATGTAATTAAGTGTGCTCAAAGCTAGGCTTGTGCTTTAAGGAACATTTGTAATTATCAGAGATTAAATAATGTTAAAATCTAGGTTCGTATTTTTTATATGTATATTAAGGAATCAAACTGTTTAGAAAAAAAAAACGGAGTTCTTAGCTGTCCCAACAAAGAATTTGAGGACTGTCTATCGAGTTTCTAAACAATCTAGAAGCAGAAAAATAAGTAAAATGAACTGGCAAGGAGAAACGAACTAACTCACAAAGTAAAGCATGCTGAAGAGCCTTTCTCTGGAAAGTTGCAAGCTTGTTCAATCTTCCCATATCCGTATCCATACCTATGGAATCAAAACTTTACAATTAAAAACAAAACCATCGTATTAAAAGAATTGCTTCAAGCTAGGTCATGATGAGCTCATGATACATGTTATTAAGAAGCTATTATACGCTAACCAATTTTTTTCAATACGACTGGTAAATTTAAACTCATCGGCGAGCATTTCCTATGCACAGAATATGACAGCTAGAAATATACGATCTATAACGTATAACTAAATTTAACCTTCTGCTTTAGATGGGAGTAGATGGTCCAGTCTTGAAGCAGCAGTACCAGAACCAGAGCAGGAAGGATCCAAGAGAATAGCTTTTACCTGCTATGATAGATCTAATGGTAGTTAGACAAACACACAGATGAACCAAGTAAAACTGCAATCTGTAAGACAAAGTAACAAATAACCACTAATAACTCGTAATCATTAATTGAAAAAGCCAAGATGCTATTACAGAACTTTAAAGAATAAATACAGCTTTGGTTCTCACTGCAAGAGGATCAGCCCTTCAATAGAAGGGTTAACTCCTTCAATCAGAAAAATACAGCTTGAGTTCTTCCAACAGGAGGATTAGTCCTTGAGTAAAAGGGTTAAATCCTCGAATCAGAGAAAACAATCTCTCTCATTCTCTCTGATGTATATAATTTTTGACAGAAACCAAATTCCACCAAAAGCATTCAGCAGATTAAACACCATCATACAAATTACAAAGGGCCAACAAAGAATGCCAGAATCCTCCGGCCAATATATTGACCTTATTGCAATGTAAAAATGCTTTATAACGAGGCACAGAGCAAGAAAATTGATAAGTAATTATAGAAGTTTAGAAGAAATCAGTTGATGTATTAATTAAATGGTCAAGTCTGATAACTACAGGCCAAAGCAATCAGCCAAACTATTAGTTAGCAGCCACACCAGAATAAGCCCGTGAAACATAAAATTATAACCGCAGAATAGGAAATATACTTCACCTTAGAATATGAAGGATCCTCGGGATTTATGCTCAAGAAATCCCCATTGAGGACTTGAATGTCTGAGTTTGCGGTTAAGTTTTACAGTTAGCAACACAAACTGAAAATTAACTAAAGAATAGCCTCAGAATTTAACGCTCCTCAGCCATGCAGAAATTAATATGCATAAAAGACATCCGGATTCTCAAGGACAAAATAGCTTGTGGTATTCCGGACAACTATTATAGCCTTGTGAAGTTAAATAAAAAATCCAAGGCACTGATTATTGCGACATTGAAAAAGCTAACAGGAAGCATGTAGATATTACAAAATATCATAAAGGATACTAGAAGCACCAGATAGCTTTATAGTGTCTTTCAAACGCCTAATCCTTTCCTTTTGCAGCTCACATGCTATAATCTTACCCTTACTCTTCATAAGGGCAGCAAGGTGAACAGTTTTGTTTCCCGGTGCTGCACATGCATCAAGAACCTTGAAATATATTTGAAGTGTGCAAACAGTGAGGATTGGAATGAGTAACACAAATTCATAGATCTAACATTATATATTTTTTAATTCAACTATGATATTTTATAGTTATAATTTAATGGTTTAATTACCATTTTGGTCACAGTTAAAAATGTTCCATTTTAGTTCATATATATCATTTTTGTTTCCCTTTAGTCCTTGTTGTTTATTTTTGTAGGGATTAAAAGGGAAAATTTAAGTAACAACAAGGATTAAAAGGAACTACAAATCATATGCACAAGGACTAAAAAGTAATATTTTAATTATAGAGACTAAAAAGTAAAGTTCATGAAACTATAAGGACCAAAAAAGTAATTAAACCTAATTTAAATTTATAAATTGAATGTTCATATAACAGTTAAAAAGCAGGCAGCAAGCATATGCACATACATATATATTGGTTTGTTCAGAAGTATTTTTTTTATAATAAAAAAAGAAAGAAAGAAAAATGAAAGAGTAACAAAACCCAAACCTAGAAAGGGGTTGAGGTTCAGAAATAAATTGATAACACGACGC